GGGGACCAGATGGATCAGGTTTGTAAAATTGTCATCGTTTCAGTGTCAGCAGCAGAGCTGCAGTGATTTATTTTAACTGAACACTGGCCCATCAAGTTTTGGCTCCTTTTCACCATTTTACAAGTTGTATGGAGAAGTTCTGAGGAGAGATGATTTGTGTTGTGCTTATGCCCATCACTTCAGTTGTGGACCAGGGTCTCATCATGATATCAGGTATTAAAAGCATAACTGAAATATGTGTCTGTACATGTTGTTTTTCTTTGTGCTAAGCCTTTGCTTTGTGTTATGTCTACTTGAGGAGACACTGGTCTCGCAAAAGGAAAAGAGCCCTTCAGTTCCTATATCTTTCAGTATTTTATTTTATAAAATACCGTAAAGAAAGATGAAATGGCATGGGGAAGAGGTGGGCTGTAAAAAACAGGCCACAAAGGGTTACCAGCTTTTCCAGACATAGTCTGGTGTGCATGTAGGAAAGAAGCCGATGATCTAGATGACAGTGCATTTGATCTTACTGTGGCATCCAGTAGACCGGGACTTTAAAGACTTAACTTTGTTAGGTCAATCTTTCCTAAGTTAATAAATCACTTAAGTAATAAGGTAATACCTAGCTATTTATTTTTCACTTATTTTTCCACAAGATGATCAATTCTGAAAAATAAGTGCTGTCTTTAACAATCTTTTAAAGAGTTGGAAATTTTCTGAGCCTCCTGACAGGTGATGTGTCCTGGTTTCGGCTGGGATAGAGTTAATTTTCTTCCTGATAGCAGGCATAGTGCTGTGTTTTGGATTTAGTGTGAGAATAGTGTTGATAACACACTGATGTTTTAGTTGTTGCTGAGTACTGCTGATGCTAGTCAAGGACTTTTCAGCTTCTCATGTTCTGCCAGGTGCACAAGAAACTGGGAGGGGGCACAGCCAGGACAACTGAACCAAACTGACCAAAGGGCTATTCCATACCATATGGCGTCATGCTCAGTATAGAAACTGGGGGGGTTGGCTGGGGAGCAGCGATCGCTGCTTGGGGACTGTCTGGGTATCGGTCGGCAGGTGGTGAGCAATTGCATTGTGCATCACTTGCTTTGTATATTATTATTATATTGTTATTGTTATCATTACTGTTTCACTTTATTTCAATTATTAAACTGTTCTTATCTCAACCCAGGAGTTTTCTCACTCTTACCCCTCTGATTCTCTCCCCCATCCCACTGGCGCAGGGGGAGTGAGTGAGTGGCTGCGTGGTGCTTAGTTGCTGGCTGGGGCTAAACCATGACATTATGCTAGTTAATTTGACATTAAAAATGATAGTAGAAAATACTTTTAATTTCATAAATGATGCATAATGTAGGGCTGTGGAGTGTCTCCTGGCAAAGAACAAAACTCAAGCCATTTGAAAATCCTGACAGAAGCAGCACAGACTGTTCTTGCTTGCTGTAAGCTTAGATCAAAAGGATTCTCAATTTTCCCAGCAGCAAAAAATACTCTATGCTATGTCCACTAGCATGGTATGAGAGCAAGAGTTTTACTAAATTCAGTATAATTAACAGGCAGGCACTGGGGGCTTAACCCATGACGTAAATTCATGTTTACTGCTGAAGTTGCTGCTGTCTGGTTAGTAAGTGAAAGACTTCTTGGAGTGGCCAGAGTAAAATGTTGCTCCAAAACTGTGTGCAGTCTCTCTGGGGTTTGAGGAATGTTGGTTTCCTGGAGTACTGACATAATGTGGACTGACTTTAGGTTCAGAGTATAAACTTACAAACCTGTGACTCCAAACAATCTCAGCTTTGCTTGGCACATATCAAAGTTAGAATAAAGGGCCTACATCCATCAGAGCCCAATTTCTGAACTCTGCCCCATTTTAACTACAGCATCTTTTGTTCCCTACATTTGAAATATAAACCCATTTTTGTCTGGTTTCCTGAGGAGGTGCGGTTTATGTGATTAGTCTGCCAGTCTGTCTTTGAATTCTGCAGTGATTTTGTTGCACAAGCCAGGTTCAACTCAGCTTGAAAGGAGTGTCCATCACCAGCTGACAGTTTGAATGTGGCACTTTCTTTTTAAAGGATAAGAGATTTTCACTGTATGGAAGCAACCTGTGCTGTGCCAGCTTTTTTAATTCACAAGTGTAAAAATAATCTCTGTGTCCTAAGACAGGGCAGGCAATGTGGCTAAGATTTGTTGTGAACAAGAATAGTTACAAAATTCTGTTTAGGAGTTTAGGAGACCTGCTGGTGTAACTTCTTAAGAGGATGTGTGAGTCCTCATATTTGGATTGTTTGCTCGTAACTCGCTTGAACAGTGGGGTGTATGTACTGTCCCAGCAATTCCTTCCCCACCAAGGAATTTGTGTCTGTTTTGCACCTAGAAATTTTGTTGCTTAAGCAGACCAAGCATTAACTGGGGTGAACTACAGCAAGTAATTTTGAGTCTACTTGTAACCATCTTTAAATGGGAAAGAAATGTGTTTCTTATTGGGCTTTAGGTTAGAAAAACCCCAATAGAAACTGAAGTATTTTTCCAAAGCAAAGGGGTAATTTTAAAAGCTTGCTTACATCTGTCACCCTGGAGGCTCACTTCTGAACTTAGGTCTGTCTGTGTGCCACTTTTTTTAAAGAGCTCAGATGAAGATAATTAGGGGGCTAAGAGCTTATGGCTTAAAAGGAGAGTCTGGGAGAGCTAGTTTTGTTCAGTCTTCAGGGTTTCAGTTACCTGTTGGGAGGTGTAGAGGAAACAGCACCAGAATGTTAGAGGTGCACAGTGACAGGACAAGAGGCAAGGGGCACAAGTTGCAACGAGGGAAATTCTGATTAGATATCGAGAAGAAAATTTTTGCTGTGAGGACAGTCAAACATGGGAACAGGAGCCCAGGGAGGTTAAGAAATCTCCATCCCTGATGGCATTGAGAACTCAAGAGGACCAAGGTTGTGGGCAACCTGGTCCAAGTTGGCCCTTCTTCGGGCAGACTTTTGGACCGCATGACTTCTAGAGGTCTGTTTCAACCTGTTGTTCTGTGACACAGCATAGGGTGCAGCAATGAGTTTCAAGTGCAGTTCCCTATGAAACAGTTTACCACTAGATTTGCATTCAGGAAGAAATGTTTCTAATGTATAATAGGACCCCAGAAGTGCTAATACCAGCTGAATGCTGGAGAACTGAATATAATTGCTCTTTTTGCCATGAAGTTTTCATATGTTGACTTTTCAGTAGGTGGCACTTTATAGCTGGCTGAATTATAGGCTGTGCAGAAATGCTTCTCCAAACAGTATTTAGGGATTGTTCTTTCATTAGTTAACGTCTTGTATACCAAATACTTAAAAAAAGTCTGTTTGGTTTCCAAAGTTAGTGCCTAGTTTTAATCTCAATCTTTTTGTGATTCAGTTCCCCAATTGTCAGATGGAGAGAGCATCATCGCTTTTCAGGGGCAATCTAGTGATGACTATCTTAAAGCCCAAAAGAACATAAATAATTCTTCCTTCAGAGTATGGTCTGTGTCCTAATACCTATGTATTGCAATAGAAACAGAGAAGAAAGTAAAGCTTCAGTCCATCCTATGTAGAGGGACTTTCGGGAAAAAAACACGGGTAATCATTAATTATTTAGAACAGCTATGCATGAAGAGACCAGCCTTAATTATAGCATTTTCTAACTTGCCAATTTTTTACTGTAATGCTTTCACTGTATTCTTTTAATAGTTTTTTGTTTCTAAGTATAAATTACAGTTAAAAATTGGAGCTATTTTTACAGCATTTCACACTTGCATCTTTTTGTTGTTTTTGAAAGAACGCAGCTGAAAGAGAGTCTCTATTGTAGCAGATGATGCTGGTTAACACATGCTGCTCAGCTCAGTACAGTGACTGTCTCAGACTCTGACCTCAGTCCTGTTCTCATCACCATCAATGGGAGTTTTACCATTGCCTACCCTGCAAGTGTCTTTTTTATTGATGTCCAGGTGATACAGTCCAGCCTGGCGAAGAACTTGTATGTGAAGCATATGCTTTATACTGAGTGCGCAAAGACTTTCCTGAAATCTGTATCTTGGAATCGGTAAGAGGTGTTGGAAAAATAACGAAAGCAATAGACATCGGAAGTTCTTAAAATCTCTACTGGTCAGGAAAGTATCTGCTTAAATTCATTCATACTTTGAGAGGCCTTAAAAGACTCTTTGGTCTGAGTATGCATGCTGTCCTGTCTAGGGGACTAATTATATTAATGGAGCATAAGCAGAATGTGCATTAACAGAGTAGAAGCAGGAAACTAAATGCTAAATACTACATAAATCCAGGAGCAGGGGAGATAAAGCCAAGCACTTCAACCATCAACACATGCCTAATTTTTAATAAACCTGCTGATACTAAAAGGCTGTTTTGAAACAAGAATGGTGAAGTTGCATTAGGAAGCACTCTAAAGGTCAGATGCTCTGGATTGAAGGTTGCTTGTCAAACCTTAATGGATATCTATTGTGTGTATGCAATTATAATAATCTTTTAACAGGAGAAATCCCTGTAAAGTGGGAAAATAGTCTTTGACTTCAGTGTAGTGGAAAATTAGATCTGCTTAAAACCATTCACTTGCCCTGCCCTTAAAAGCCTGTAGAAATGCATGAGAAAAGTGTATTTGGTGTTGAGGGCAAAATAAATGATAGGAGGAGATGTTATTTTGGAGGTAATGCTTTTCTCTTCAGACATAATTGGAGACATTTGTGAGCTGCAGAGTGTAAAAGTCTGACAGTGGTTTTGAATGCAACTGATTTTATGAACTTTTGAAAGTAGTTACAATTCCCTGACTTACAAGGTCGCTTTTGCTTTTGTCTTTTAATAGCTCTCTAGAAACACGTGTCAGCTGTAAATAAATCAGGTGGGAAATCCTGATAATATGGGAAGTCGTTAATTTGTGAAACAGGAGAATACCCCACTGATGGAATCCTGGTCTCTCAAATGTCTCTAAAATATAAAGCAGGGATCAAAATCTTATTTGTTCTATCTTTTGTCTTTCAGGTACAAACCATGAATTACGTTGGACAGTTAGCAGGACAAGTGTTTGTAACTGTGAAGGAACTCTATAAGGGACTAAACCCAGCCACATTGTCGGGATGTATAGATATAATTGTTGTACGTCAGCCAGATGGAAATCTTCAGTGTTCACCTTTCCATGTACGCTTTGGGAAAATGGGAGTCCTACGTTCTAGGGAGAAAGTGGTAAGAAAATTGAAAATTTTGGTATGATCTGTCTGTGGGGTAATTCTAATGCCATGAAAGTTGCTGAATGTTCTGTGGTATGCTAGTCAAGGTTTTCTTTAGACACTCTACAAAGTGCCCAAATTGAGACTAGATTCAATTAAAATGGTTGTTACTGATTCTTGCATTTCAAAGCATAATTTGTAAGACATTGACTGTAATAAAACCAGAACAAACCATGAAATCTATAACATTTATTTTCAATAGAGCAAAATTTTGAATGTGCTGATTTGGGCTTATAATAAATTTCATTAGTGACTGTGTATTAAGACCCCTTTGTTTAATATGTTCATTGATAGTTACAAAAAGAGAGTTAATCATGAAGTAATATTTTCAGATAACAGAATGTTGAGGTTAACTGAAGCTAGAAAAAGCAGTGAGGACCTTTAGATAAATGTAACCAAGCTGGATGACCTGGCAATATGATATCAGATGTGAAGTTGCCAGTGAGTAATGCACGACAGATTATTTTAAGAAATAATTTTTAACTACATATAGTCTAGGTTCTACTGTAGCTATAATTGTTCAGCAGAAAGATCGTAATGTCACCATGGACATTGTTCAATTCTCACATGAATCAGAAAAGAATACCAATATTTACTATGGGTAAAAGTTGAAAATGTTACTGTGCCAATAGTATACTGTTCCTGAAATATCACATAAATGTGGGCTTGTCCAAGTCTCCAAAAAAAAACCCAAAACCCACCAGTGAAAATGGAGTTGGTGACAAGAACAGTTATAGGCAAAGAGAAAGATCCTTCCGAGAAGAAATGAAAATAGTTGGGGCTGTATAGCGATGAGATAAATGTGCGGAAGAAATAGGCAATTTTTCTTACTTGTGCTTCTCATAGTGCAAAGAGAAGTCTGTTTAATGAATTTGAAAGACAGTATATTAAGAATTTGCATGTGGAAGTACTTCTTGCACAATGCAAAATTAGGCTATGAATTAAAGGAGCAAAAAGATTTGTGTGGTGAGTGAAGCATTCAGAATGACGTTAAAAAGATTTGGGACATAAAATGGCTATAAACCTTCCTGAGTAGAGCAGCAAGACAGCAATGAGCTGAACGAGTTAGAAAAACATTTCTGACAGTTGATGGCCTTATGAAGGGGTGGGGAGAGAAACAGAGAAGTTCACTATTTTATGTTTATTATAAGATTTCTTACACTTCCCTGAGAAGCATTTGCCCAGTGACAGTAGTAGGATAGCTGAACAGGAACTGTGTACCTAAAGTAACTTCCTTTTCATTTGAGAATATGTTTATTTTCTTCCAGGTTGACATAGAAATTAATGGAGAGGCTGTAGATTTGCACATGAAACTAGGAGACAATGGAGAGGCCTTTTTTGTGCAGGAGATGGATAATGATCAGGTAAGAGTCAAAACTAATTTTAATTTGTTAAAAATTCAATGCCTGCTCTTCAGAGTCAGTTTTGAATTTAGGAATTTTGTTGAAAAACATGCCTTTACCGATTTTATAGTTCTGAAAGTTTATGGACAATTTTCTGCTATGGAAATTTAATGCTGTGCAGTTACTTTGTTTTTTGAGTTGCTGAGATTGGAAAAAAAAATCTAAAGAAGGTAATCACATAACTAAAAAATAAATCAGTTTACGTGCACGCCAATGTGTGAAGAGAAATAACATGTACACAGTTCACATGCTGTGAAGATGTGTACGACAGAGGTTAATATGTCCATGGACCTGTTTTTTGTAGAAATCTTTACTTTGAACATATGCACTCAGCAGACTGCCAGTAAAAGTGCACATGCCCTGTGAACGTCGGTGCACACAGTAATTCTGGTACTAACCAACAGTGTGCTCTTGCAACTATTATTCATGTGGAATTGCATTTGAATGAGAATGCCTGCTGTTGAGCTGTGTGATTAAATACTAGTCTGTATAAGTTATGGTCACACTAGTTTTGAATAATCCACACGTAATGTAACATAAGAAAAGCTTTTACAGGCAATTCTCTTCAGATATCCCCAATAATTTTTGTCACTGTCCAGACTGGGATGTGTTTTCAAACTCTTACATTGAGTATAATACTACTAGTTTCAGGTGGGAGCTGTGTGCACGTGCAGTATTCATAGAATCATAGAATTCTGGAAGGGACCTTTAGAGGTCATCCAGCCCAACCCCCCTGCAGTGAGCAGGGACAGCTTTAACTAGATCAGGTTGCTCAGAGCCTGAGATTCATCTCTACATCTTTGTATTCAAATCTTCTGACCTCTATATTTAAAACTTCTGTGTGTTAACAGTTATTTGGTGACTGAAAATTGCTAGAAATACTTCCATGAATGTCTAGAGATGTGTGGATATATGATTGAATAAGAGGATGTTTGTGTGACCTGGTTATAAACCACTGAGCTATCTGACTACTATCCGTCATCTGAGCTGTGAAGGAGAATTGGATTTAACAAAATGTTCAGGTTATAAACCAGTATTTTGTTTCTGCTCTGTATCTAGCATCAGGTGGATAGAGACTCATGCATAACCTGGCCAATATTAGATGCTCAGAGGATCCTCTTTATTAAGAGTATTGTTCTTGGTTTGTCTAAGGAGATGCAGATATGGAACAATTTCCATATACTATAGGATCATACTGAGCACCCAGATCTAACCTTTGTTACTTTTCTGGGGAATAGATGACTTAGATTTTGGCAATTGTGCATAGATTTTAGAATTTGTCTAAAAAGCACAGATTTATGACTGGCAGAGGAACTAATATGTTGCATGGTTTGCATTTTTTCTCAGGAGGTAATTCCTTATCATCTCTCCACATCTCCCATTCTGTCTGAGGGAACTGCTTTAATGGAAACTCAGCTGAAGAGGAACTCCGTAGACAGGATAAGAAACCTGGACACCAGTGCATCCTCACAAGTACCACCCCAAGCCCATGGATCCCAGCCTTCTACTGAAACATCTCCAGTCTGTAGCTCTGTGAAAAAAAGGAGGAAAAAGAGGAGGAAGTCTACTCATAAAATAGACAGCTTAAAAAGAGAAGACAATGGAGACACATCAGAAGATGAAGACATGTTTCCTATAGAGATAAGCTCAGAGGAAGAAAAAGAACCATTGGACAGTTCAAGGTATCACAGTGGAATTGAGATATATAATGGAAACCTAATGCTGGGTTAATGTTCTACTCCATACCTTCGAACAGTAATTTCTATCTAAGTCAGTACATATGGTTGATGAACATGTTTCTTTAACAAAAACCTTTAGGCTAGAAAGCTATTGAGCATGTTACTAGCAAAAATAATGAAAATGACATTGAAAACATAAGAACAATCCTTCATTATGCTGTGAACTAGGTGTGAATCAGATAACAAAAAAAACCCCATACTGTACAGAAGAGTTAGTATAACCTGAACTGAAAAGAGACAGAGAAATGTTATCTGGAGTATATGACAGTTCAGTAATGAAGTACGGTTTTTAAATGTCATATCTTTCCTTATACCTAGGATCCTTGTTCCAGATGTGTTTGTTGATGAAGTATCTGACATAAAGGCTCCTGCGGTTTCTACGTTTGCTCAGTCTGCATCTTACCCTCATTCAGATGGAGAATGGTCACCTCTTCAGAGGTACTTTTTCTGATAATACGGTTCTAAATAGCCTTCCTTTAATTTCTTATATGCTAGTCCTATATGAAGTCTTACTAAAAAATTTTGGTATCGAACATGGTCACTGTCAGCTACTAGATGAATGCTTTCTATATTTGACATCAGGTAGTGCACAAAAATTTCAGGTTAGCTTTTTCCTTGATTCAACAAATGCATGCATACAAATGCAGGTCCACAAAATTCTGAAGAATATCGGTATCTGTTAATGTCACTGCATATAAATACTGTAGAGAGGATGAACATTTTGTGAAATCTGAATCTTTGCCTGATGCACACACCTTGTAAGGACATCAGTGAATGCAGGTATATAAATCTTTAGTACTTCGGGTGTAATCCTTTTAAGAACTTGCAAGATTGGAATGGGTGTATAAAAAGATTTTCTTTTTTTTTTAAAATGAGTTAGAATATGAGCTTCTTGTGTCCCTTTCAAAGCTAATCTGTTGAATTGCACAGGTAGATAGACATGAAATACATATTTTGTGAAAAGAACACATACAGTACTTTGCTTACTTTTTTCTATATGTGTATTTGTGTGCATGTGTATACCTTTGATGTCAAAGCAGATTAGTTTGGACCTCATTTTTTGTGTCTGTGGAACACTGTCAAAAAGGGACAATTTTTTCCTTCGTGTGCATTGTGTTATAATTCCAATGAAGTCTGTGTGTGCGTGTGTCTGTGCACGTGCCCCACACCCTCCATGCAGACTGTTGGAGTGGGGTGGTATTCACAAGACCTTATCCTAAGAAGTCTAATCTCAATAGACTGCCTTATAGTTCAGGGATGGAGGAAGGGAGAGCAAGGAGATAATTTCAGAGCAAGGGCTTAATTTGAATTGTATTTTGGAAGAAACTTTCTCCACTAATGGTAGAGCTTAATGCGATTAGCTTCACCAATCTGGTGATAGCATGTGTCAATATCCTGCCCATTTGGTGGTGTTTTGAGCTGTATGTTCTGTTTTGTTTCTTGACTGCAGTATTCTGGATTTTGAAAATTGTAGATGTAAATTCAGCATTCATGTAGCTAATACACAAGGAGCATATGTTAATCAGCACTTGTGAATAATGACACCCTGTTTTTCTTTCTACCAACATGCTGTGCTGCCCAGTAAGCCTATAGATTGCACAGGGCAATCCTCTCTTCTCACTGTTCCAGCAGATGGAGGCCTATCTAACTCTTGTCCTCAACAATCTTCTCACTTTTCTCCTCCAGACAGGTAGAACAGTTGTCCTTCCTCTTTTCTGGGCTGCTCTTTAATCCTTTTAACACATTAATATACTATTAACGTGTTAATAGTATGTGAACTTTGTTGAACTTATAACTGCACTTACTGCTAACCCAGACGCTTTGAAAGAAAGTGACATTGAAAACCACTTCCTCTGCTTGCTTCTTTGTGGGCATTGACTGGAGGTAAGTTGCTTTGATGAATCACCTGTTGAATGAGGGTGGCTAGTATAAAATCGGGCCACTGAAAGCCTGGATTAAAACTGAAGTTGATTAAGGTGATAACAAAAAAAAAAAAAGGAACAACTTAGCTAGTGAAAACTTACATTCCCCTAAAGATTGACATTTCCATGTGGCTTTTTACAGTCAGCGTGCATTTTAATGACATTTTTATCCCATGGTTTTCCCGAGTTGTTTGCTTGTGCATGGGTTGCAAAAGTAAAAGCAAAACAAAGGCCTCAGAGATTAAGTGAGCAATAAGGAGTCCAAAACTTGTAATGGGAGGAGCCCAGTACCAAAACAGAACTTCTCTTCCCTTGTTCCCCGGTTTGGGGGAAGGGAAGACTTTCTGTATGTTGGATTTCAGTCGGGGAGCATCTTACAAAGATGACACAATAGATAAGGCATGTTGCCTAAGGTTTAGGAGACCCAGACTTAAGCCTTTGTTGTAGCGTAGGATTCCTCTGGCTGTGGACCCTTTTCTACAGAGCTGAAAGTGGATACAGACACTTCTTATGATGTCTTAAATTCAAGATGTCTCAAGATTCTGCAGCCAGGCCCTTTCTCTCCATTAAGTCAGTGGTGAGGAGTCACAGCAACTCAGTTAAAACATTTAAAGTAGGTGTCTGAATATGACCTCTACAATTCTCCATTAATGCTGGGGAAGCTTTGAGTAATAAATTGGGCTAAATTGCTCATTGCCTATCTCAACATAGATGCCATACTAGGTGCCTAAGGCTGTATTGAAACTGATAATCTTGAGGTTTTCCCAGCTTCTAGGTCTGCCCTCTTTAACCTGACCATGTTGCAGCACCAAGGCAAGGTGAGGTCCTGGGACATTTAAGAGAAGGAAGGGCAGGCGCACAGGTTGGGATGGAGCAGTGATGTGCTCTGGGTGGCTCCATGAACTTTGCTCTGGCGTTCACCTGTCCGGCAGTCTAGAGATACAGCCAAAGTGCTGTAGTAACTTGTCTGAGTAAGGCCCTCTCTGTGTCTGCAACTGTTTTCCTCGATGTGAAATAAGAAACTCTATTATGGCCACCTCGAAGGAGATTCAGAGGCTCTCAGCTATTGTTGTGACATGTACATGAGGTAGGCCTCTTTCCTTCTATCTTTTTGCAGTTTATTTGGCCTCAGTCAAGGCAGGACTTTTTCTCAGGTCACACTGCTGTTTTCTCAGGGCTGTCTGCTTTCAGTGGGAAACACTGTGGAGATCAGCTTGGTTTGCTGTTACAGACCTGCCAACTGCAGGTCAAGGTCCTTATTCTTTGACATTGGATTACATTAAGTGCAGTCATAGCTGTTAGGGAATACATAGGTCTGTGACACAAATATTCAGCATTTATGGGATGTGAATCAGATATGCTGATCTAGATGCCTGAACTGAGGTTTCCCTTCCTTCTTGTACAGTGTTGACAGGATGGGTGGCTCTAGTTTCTCCGGTATCTGCAGCAATCTGTGTAAGGCAAGCAAATTTCAGCTGGGCTGAGTCAGTGCCTAACTTAAGGACAGGGGAACTGCAAGGCATAGTTCAGCCCAAGACAAATATCTTGGTGGTGTGAAGAATAAAGAACCCATTTGGACTCTGATCCATGGATGCATTTGCAGGATACTATCACCGGGTTACAAATCCTGTGCGGTCTTGGTATTCAGCCTTATAGACCCCTAGTGCAAGCGTAACATTAATCCAGGATTTAATTTGACCTAACCGAGCTAAAAAAAAAAAAATTAAAGGAATGTGATTGTGAGCTTTATTAGTCTTCAGTCTCATTTTACTTTGGTAGCAATAGTATGAAGTGAATAGCAGCCAAAATAGTCCCAGTGTGGGTAAAGGAGATGACATCTGGCATTACATATGGAAGCAGAACTATACAAACAGGAAGTATACAAACAGGACTGTAGCAGGCATAATTGCCATCTGCGTCCATAAATTACAGAGGTTATTGTTGCTGTTCCAGAAGGATATTAATTGGAGAGAGTAGCTATTGCGTGTTAAACAACAATAGGTCACATGAAGAAAAAAGTAAAGGTATTTCTCTGTAATGGAAAACCAGCTCTCTTTGGGAGGCCACCAACCCTGTATTAATATTTGTGAGTGCCATAGAAAATTCTAGCTTATATTCCAGATGATGTAAGGAACAAGAATGCTTTAGTTTGCCTTGTGGATGCATGTTTGCAGTCTGGTTTGGTCTTGGGCCTTTTAAATTAAGATGGCATTGCAATGATAATTCTGGTCTACCCTTAAGTTGCATTAGCATTTGTACACTAATTTGCAAGGAGAAATCAACTGAAAAGAATTCTGAAGATCTAAAATTTTGTTACTACTAAATCCTTATATTTTATTGTATAGAAAAGTAGTACTTATAGAATGAGAATTAAGATGTCTCCGTTGCGCTCGTGTTGAAAGTTCAGTAGATAGTGTGTATTTAGTGTACTTTGTTTTGGGAGAGTGGGTAATATTTTGGGGGTTAGATGCTCACCTTGTTCCTAACTTACCATGGTTATACTTGTAGCTAGATCTACTCTGAACCAATAACCCAGACATGTGCATGGATCATTGGGCACCCTTTCGCAGCAAAAGCCTTCTCAGAGCAGAACTCTGCCTGTTTTTACATACACACATAGGCAAGTGCCATGTTTCTGGCACTTGCATGTGTGTGTCTGGGAATACACATCATGGTTCTTGGTGCTGAGTAACAGCCTGGGCTGCTTCCCCACTTAGTTGTGTGTACAAGGGAACTACTTTCAGGGAAAATTGTGGAAAAGGCAAGGTTCCCCCTGCCCTGCCCTGATCAGTATTCTCCCTGCAAAATGCAGAGGTTCTAGCCCAAACTGAAGCAATGCCTGTATTCTCTCGGGTTGTCTGGCTGGGTAAGCGACCCTGGGCTGAACATACCTCAAAGCCCAGACTGGAGATTTTTCTAAGTAAACAGTAGGTATTTTGAAGGTTAAAATGTGTGTAGTGCACAGATTAACTCGTGAAATGACAATGCTTCCTTAAATCTAGATGTTTTGGGCTTGAAGCATTATTGCCTGCTGAGATTTTCTGAAGCACCCAGGTTCCTGATTTCCAAGGTTTCAACGGGCCCTAGATACATGGAAAATGCTGCAAATCCTACCACCCTGTCAGTGGGAGATGTAGAAGTTGCTGAAAATCCCACCAGGCATTTCTTGAATCCTTAGAGCTTGAAAATACTTTTTAGATCACATTGTATTGATTCCTTCATCTGTCAAATGATAGGTTATACCCTAAGGAGTAATAAAAATTTGAAATTCTTAGGGCAAAAAAGATCTCCCACAGTATTGCCTATAAATTTTATAGGTTAGTTAGATAATGTAATTATCTGCAGCTAAAATGTCATAGCATTTGTGCGTATCCAAAGTATATCGTACTGCAACATAGATGAAAACAAGGAATAATGTAGATAATTAGGTTGCTATTTTTTCTGATGTGAAATTCACAGATTGTTAAAAGCTGCTTTGTGTTAGTGTGAAGTAATTATTTGCCTGTGACCAATGAATTCCCTACCAGCTAGCTCTACAAAACTGCCTTATAGCGAAAGAGCAAAACTGTTTTGGATATTCAGTTTATCCAGAAGAAGGTAAAGAATAAATCGAACATGAAGAATTTATACTAAATGTAGGAAGCCTTTTGTTTTTGAGAGTGAAAGTAACTTGGTTTGGACCTTTGATTTAGGAATGTTATGGATTCTTTTGTTGCTTGTAGTTTATAAATCAGGATTGCATGAGTATACCAAAGACATGTTGTGGATCAGACAAAAAATAATGGGCTTTGTTCAGGGGGTTCTGGGTGAAATTTTATGACTTGCATTATGCAGAAAGGCAAAGTAGATAGTCAGAATTTTTCCTTTTGGCCTTGAAATCAGTGAATCATTATTTATTAATGGCTGACACTAAAAAATATGCTACAAACTGATAATTTACTAATTAATTATCAAATATTTTATATTGAGTAGTCAGCAAAACAATTAAATATTTTTGCACTGGAAGGGCTCAGATTCTCTTTATAGCTCTCCTGCTGGTTTTCCTATAAACATGCATCCAAGGATAGTACTGAACAAGTTAGTAGAAGGAAGTAATCAACTGGATTCCTAGACTAATTTATTACTTAGCATAAAGTGTCATCTTGTTGTGAGTGAGTCATTTCTGCATTTCACATCCATTATAACACTAACATCTGTTCATCTATTGTGGCTGGTACCATCCCTATTCTTTTTTCCACACAGAAACCCAGAAATCTGCCTGAAATGTTCAGGTCCAGTGCTTTTGCTCCATCTCTTTCAGCTTCTCAAATACTACTTCTGTGATGGCACTTATGAAAAACTGGATGAGACCTCTGAATGCCAGTCTAAGAGGATCCAGAATTGTTTAAACTGTTTTTCCATGCTTTCACACTTTCAGTTGGCTGATAATTATTTAGGTTTTCAATGCTTTGGGTTGGTGGATATCAGTTTGGAAAGTGTGTGATTCATTGTGGTTATTTTTGTCTTTGTAATATTTTTGTAATAAGTAGTGTTACTGTTTGTTTGTTTTTCTTCAGCCCATCAGGTTCACGCCCTCCTACTCCTAACAGTGACTCAGAGTTAGTCAGTAAACCTATGGACAGAAGTGGACTGAAGAATAATCCCCACATGCACTGGGCCTGGGGAGAACTACCCCAGGCTGCAAAGGTATCCAACGTAATTTGTTTAATTCCTGC